TGTTGGCAACAGTGTAGGATTCCCTTCTTTATTCCTTGTTAATCTATGGTACTTTTTGAGAATTGGATTTTAACATAGGGGAGTAAGATTCCTTATGGTATTTGGAAATACCTTACCTCTGCCCTTCAGGATTCATGCCTTTGGAAAACAGGGACTCTCTAAGGAAAATATTTCAGTGTCAAGGATGAAGGCCTTGTCCTGGAGGGCAGGAGTGAGGTTGCTTCCTGGAGGCATATGGTAGGCAGCGGCTGTTTGTCTGCACCTCATGATTGCTTCCCCCAAGCATGAGAAACTTTGTACCTTATTTCCACCTGGTGACTTAAAGACACCTTTTCTAGATGGATGGACTTTGTTTTGTGCCCTCCCTCAACATCCTGCAGTTTAGCAGAACCCCAGGATCCAGGCACTCTCCATTCCTTGCTCCATCTTCCTGTAGTTAAAATCTGGACTCAGGAAAACAAAAGAGGCCTGAGCAACACAAAGAAGCTGATGCAAATGTACTGTCGACCAGATGTTTCCTTCTGCATGGCAAAGAGGCACCCAAGTTCACGGACATCTGGGGAAGTGTTTTCCTTTAAGAAAGACATCTGCAAGGAAATGGTAGCCTGAGTAATGCGATGTGACAGTTGCTATGTCAACTAGCGTATTTTTCCCCTCCCCTTAAATTATTGACTGGCTCAGTCAATGTTGCATAAAAGTCGTGCAATGCCTTGGAATGTGTTTATGTGCTGGCCTCTGCCAGAACTTCTCGGCACTTTTTCCCTACATGTATTTTGCTTTTGGGGAGATGGTGCCTGTCACTTTGGTTTAACGGTGCTCTCTTTTTGTGGAACAACATATTTCTTAGATTTGTAACGGAACAGTGGTGGCCTAGACTCTAGGGGAGCGATAGAGAAATAAGGGTGTGTGTGGGGGGCAAGCCCCTTCAGCTGTGATGAAGAAAAATGCAGACCCTGGGCAGGACACGAGCAATTTGCAGTTAGCTTGGGGAGGTAAGATGTGCACACATGTGAGTGTGTGTGTGTACTTGTGCACTTGTCCTTCCCTGGTTTTTATGAGGGAGGCTCAGGGCATGGGATCTTTCTCTTTTCTCAGCTCTGGGCTGTGTATCCAGCTGTCTGCTGGCCACCCTCTCCTTGCTGCTTCTTATAGGCATGTCTGCCTCCTGTGGTCCTCTGGTCCTCCTGGTTAAGGGACTCGTATCCTTCTGCTCAAACCTGAGAGTGGCTGCCCTCTCTGCTCCTGGCTTCCTCCTGCCTGGGCCCATACAGTTCCCAGCGGGGTCTTTCTGTGCTCCTCACGACAGGACCACTGCAGTTCCTCTGTGACTTTGTCAACCTTAGCCTCCCACTGTCTTCCCTGTCTCTGGCCTCACCCTCAACCTAATCCATTGTCCACACTCAGATAGAGTGGCACTATTGTTTTTTTTAAATAATTTTTTAAGACCAGTTTCAGGGTTCATGGTTTTAGGTTCAGGAGGGCAGAGATTTCCCATGTACCCCCTGCCTGCACTCATACACAGCCACCCCCGTTATCAGTATTCACACCGTGGTGGGACATTTGTTACCCACACGTGTCATAGTTCATGTCTGGATTAAATTAACTCTTGGTGTTGTAAATGCTATGATTTGGGCAATTATGTAATGCTACACATCTACCTTTACAATACACAGAATATGATGATCCTTCTTTCAATTTTTTTGGGTTGGGAATTGAACCCAGGGTCTCCTGCATGTTAAGCATGCACTCGACCACTGAGTTATACTCCCAGCCCTAAAATATCATTTTTTTTTTTATTGCAAGGATAAACCAATTGTTGTCTTTCTAAAACACCACTCTAATTATACCTCTTAACTTGCTTGGACTTTTTGAGTGACTTGTTATAGTGCCTGATACCTTGACTTGCTGGTCTCTGGAGCGATTCTATGGCCAAAGCCTGGTCCCCTGGTTGGCCATCATCTGTCCATCCCAGGTCTTGAAACTGTCCCCAACCCTCCCAGATAGCCCTTGAGAAGGTTCCTGATTGCTGCTCATGTTTTGAGGCACTTTTCCTGGGATATGGTCAGGACCAGGCAGCCTGTCATCACTAGGCTGGACTGCATCTTCTGTTTTGGGTCCCTGATGCTAAATTCAGTGCCTGGGACTGAGTGTTTGCTGAATAAGTGGCTGATGCCTCTGCCATCCCCATAGCACAGGAGAGACCTTAGCTGTGCTTAGGTTTTACCTTCCCAGACTCTGTACTGTTGTCTCTGTCCATTCTTCACTTGGAGCACAGTACTCAGAACAGGGCCTTTGGAGCTAGTGAGACCCACCCAGTTCATATCCATTCTCATCATTGTCGTTCATATGCACATGACTTTGAGCAGCTTTCTTAGCCCCTCTGAGTGTTACCTGGGAAATGAAATGAGCTTGGTGACCATTCCATGAGGTAGTAAGCTCAGCACTACCCTGGACACTTGGTGATTACATGGACCTGTTATTGTGCTGTGTGTTACCATTTTAAAGCAGCAGTTGGGTCATGTTCTGTTCTGCCTCTGAGGCACAGTGGTTGTCAGTCATCAACAGGGCATGGTACATCCCCAACTAGCCTTGCTCCTCCCTGTGGCCTTGGCTCTGACATGTTGTGACAAACATCCTTGCTCTCTTGTGTCTCTGTTGCTTCTCCAACCTGTGGTGGCCTTCTCCCCTGATTGCCACCTGACTTGTTCTTCTGACCTTGCTCAGGGATTCTGACCTGGCAGACTTTGAAGGTCCCCTGATCAGAATGAGCTGCTTCTCCTCCCTGCTCTCCTGCTGCACACAGCCCAGCTCTGCTTGGATTTATTATGTTTCATGTCCCTGGTCCTCTGTCTTCTTCTAAGCTCAAAGTTTCCTAAGCCACAGTCCAAATTTAATTCCTTGAGTCTGTGTAACATGTGCTTTGCACATAATTTGCTGTTTGGTGTGTGAGCTGTATGGGGAGCACATGCTGCAGAATCATGACCTCTGATGGGTCTTTGTGCCACTTTGGTGCCTTCTGCCTTTCTCTGTGCAGGGGCAGATGAGGAGGGGTAGCAAATGCCTTAGGTGCCACCTTTCCCTGCTGGACGCTGCTAATTCATCACGGTGCTCCTCCTTGCTGAGTTCAGTTGAGGCCTCAATGTGTCTTGGTGCAGTGCTCCTAGCTGTCCCAGCCCATCCATCCAAGGTGATGACAGGTGGCAACCAGTTCTCCTCAATCTGTCCTGTGGAAAAAGTCATGCTAACTTTTCCCAAATGATTCAAAATAAATAAACAAGGTAAACAAGGGTTTAGCTTCTTTAGAAAATCTTAGGCAGGATAAAAATCTTGTTGGAAGGTCTCTGGTGGGTTAAGGTGATTGTCTTAATCAGTCTCTGTGTGCCCTGAGAAAAACAGGGGGTGCTGTTGTTAGTTTTTTTTTCCCTGTTTGCTTCCTTATGGGAAAATGTGGTGTGAGAAGCACCTGTATACAGGATGGAGTGGACAGGGTGGTAGATGTTAGGCCTTGACAGACAGACAGACATTTCTGGGCAAACTGGAGCAGAAAGATCTTTAAGACAGAGAGAGAGAGAGAGAAAGAGAGAGAGAGAGAGAGAGAGAGAGAGAGAGAGAGAGAGAGAGAGAGAGAGAGAGAGAGAGAGAAAGCCATCAAGGGAGCCATGGCCTCTTGAAAGGACTTT